TTACCCTCAATCACGGTTTTCCGATCATTCGGCTGAGGTAACCGAGGAGATGTTACAAAGATATGTAATTTAGCAAGGAATCCTTAGCTAACTGCCTATACTAGGTAACAATGAGAATCAAACCCTTGGCCTTCTGCTCAGAAGACCGATGCTCTAACCACTCCACCACCTAGCCCGTGGTGCATTTGGTGTACCTATTGATAAATAACAATAGACAGGATCTGACTGGATATTTAGGTCAAACACTCACCCCTGCCCACTGGACAACTGGGGCTTAATGGCCGATTGGTTAGAGCATGTGCTTTCTGAGCAGAAGCAGTGGTCAAATGCTTCTTGGTGGGAACTTTACTGCAATCCTTAGTAACAACACTTTATTTCTCCCAACAATTTGTATCTGGTCCAAGTAAGAGCCTTGCAAGGCCTTGTCTCCAAAAACTCATCTGGACTAACGTTTCGGTGTGTGCAAAAGCTTTCTTGCCCCCGTTAGTTGCTTTCCGTTTACAACCCAATTAGCAGTCAAGATTAGATTAGATTAGATTAAGAATAATGACATAAACATCATCACTAGTTTTAAACATTCTTTCTGATTTCCTCATTATCAGAACTGTGAACATTTCACAGCCTTCGTCATTAAAAAACAAACAAATTCTATAACTAACATAATTGTCATAATTTATTTACATATTATAGTAGAAATTAAATTAATAAGTTTAAAAAAAAGTTTAAAACGTTAAAAAACCGTCAATAAAAAAATGAGATAAAAACAAATTCATGAGATATTTATTCCCTTTCTCTTGGCAACACACGGGTTTTTATATAAATATTGAACTTGTTGCTTCTTCTTTTCGATATAATTTACACCCTATATTTTTGCTAAAACTATATTTGACACTTCCCAAAAGTTGCCTGTGTCTACTAAATTATTAGTCTTTTTAAATTCTTCTAGATTAATTTTAAAATCAATAACAGACACTGAATTTCTAACAAATGATGGTAATTTATTCCAAAAGCTGATAACACGCTCTGATAAAAAATTATTAGACAAGGTTTTAATATTTCTATCAATATTGTTAGATTTAGTGCTAACAATTTTATCTCCCGATCTACTTAAATTGAAAATATCTTTTCCATACTCAACCAATCCATTTACAATTTTGTAGGCTTCAATCAAATCTCCTCTAACCCGTCTCTCTGCGAGTGTTGTAATCTGTAAGGCATCCAACCTTTTACTGTAAGGAAGTGTTCCAATATCATCAATAAGGCGTGTGAACCTTCTCTGGACATTTTCCAGTTCAATGATAGTAGCCCAATTCCCATGGCAGGCAGGTGGAGACCACAACTGAGCACAATACTCCAAGTGGGGTCTTATTATAGTTTTATAAACATTTCTCATAACGTTAATTTCTCTTATAATGAGATTCCTTGTAACCCATGCAATCATACTGTTTGCTTTACTGATACAACTTTTAATATGTTTCGACCATTTCAAATCTGAAGAAGTTAACACTCCAAGATCTTTCTCTGCTTCAATACATTCAAGTGTAACACCACTAAATACATATTCTTGAAGGGGATTTTCATTAAATGGAACATGCATTATTTTGCATTTGCTAGGATTAAACTTTAACAGCCACACATTTTGCCAGTTTTGCAAGCTTTCTAACATATTGAAAGTGCTTTCAGTGTCATTGGCATCCATAATAACTTTAAGATCATCTGCAAACAGTTTAGATATACCATTAATACAATCAGGCAAGTCATTGATAAAAATGACAAACAATAAAGGACCCAAAACAGACCCTTGTGGGACGCCTGATAAAACATCACGAAGGTAGGAATATGCTTCACCAACGAATGTCTTAAATCTTCTTCCAGATAAAAAGTCTTTCACAATATCTAAAGTGTTACCACTTCTACCCAAATTTCTCATTTTTGTAAGTAGTCTATGATGTGGAACACTATCAAATGCTTTACAAAAATCTAAGTAAAACACATCTACGGGTGCACCATCCTCTAATAGTTCGATGATACATTCTACACTCTCTAATAGATTAGATAAACAAGATTTACCTTCTACAAATCCATGCTGGTTTGATTTATCTTCTTACTAACAAAACTCATAATATGCCTCCTTACTAATTTTTCATATAATTTACATAAAATGCATGTAAGTGATACTGGCCTGTAATTTAGGGCATCTTTCCGACTACCCTTTTTATAAAGAGATGTAACATTTGCTGTCTTCCACTGTTCTGGAATTTTTCCACTTGAAGCACATGTTTGAAATAATTTAGTCACAGCAGAAACAAAACTTGAATTATTATATATATATGTTCAAGTTCTTTTAATAATTTAGGATGAATGCCATCTGGCCCTTTACTTTTACTAATATTAATTCTTTTCAGTTCTCTGCCAACATCATCCATTGTTATCTCAATATTTTCAATGTTTAACTCATCCGCAATAAAATAACATTCTCTGTTCAAAGGTCCATCTGGTTCTTTGACAAAAACTGAAGCAAAAGCATCAGCCAATACTTCGGCAGTTTCAAAATTACTTTTGGTCAAAGATCCGTCCGGTTTTTCCAGGGATGATACACAACTTTTTAACACTCTTTTCCCTCTTAAATATGCATAATATGGCTTCGTATTATATTTCATACACTGTGTAATTTTTCTTTCATAATTAACTTTACATTTAAATGACTTACTATCAAACTGTCCTTGTTGGTTCAGTGCAACATTAAGATTTTCAGAAGAAGGATTATTATCAAAAATATACCAACATTTATCTGTCTTTTTCCTGCATCTTTTTAAGGTTGAGTTTGCCCAAGGCTCACATTTAAAGTTCTTTTCCGTCGGAACTATATCAGATACTAAGTTAAGCTTTGAGTGTAACTCACTCCACATATCTTCAGAAGTTAAAGTACCCTCACTAAAAGACCAGTCAATTTCAGCCGATCTGTGTAACAATTCTTTGCCAGAGACTTTTCCCCATAACTTTCTAGGCTCCTTTGCAGCCTCATCATCTTGCTCACTGTTACTAAGACTTAGATATAATTCTACATTAAAACAAACATGATCGCTCTTCCCCAAGGGGGAGACAATCATTACTTCATTGACAATAGCTTCGTTTGTAGAGAGAACCTGATCTAGTGTACTCTCTTGAAGTTTACCGCTGACAACTCTACGTCTGGTAACTTCATCTGTGATATACCAAACCAAGCCATTGTCTTGTACACATTCCATAAAATTCTTTTCTATAATTAAACTCTTATTACTTGTTCCTAGAGGAGCATTAACAGTTCCACTAAGCCAAGATATATTTGGTAAATTTAAATCTCCAACTAGGATTGATTCAACATTAAAAACAGCTAGTTTTGCAATCATTTTGGTCATCGCATTGTTCTGCGCTTTAGAAAGAGACATTGATCTATAAATACATGCAATATTTACCCTACCAATGTTGCTATCGAATTCAACAGCAATCGAATCAGTGACCCTAAACCAATCTATGACAACTGGGTTCAAAGAGTCTTTAATATAAATAATACAGCCTCCACCACTACTAACAGAACTTTCTCCTACTTCTTCATTAACTGTAAAATCTCTATCTTTTCTAAATATTTTGAAACCAGGTATGCTAATTTCAGCATCAATAATTTCATTGTTAAAATGAGTTTCATTTATGCAAACAATGTCAGACTGGTACAGCGAAACAGCATTTCTCAATTCACAAAACTTGTTATATAAACTATTACTGTTACTATAAAACAATTTAAGGTTTAGGTATTCTTTATCTTTGCTTTCTCTGCAAGTCGCTTTCTCCGTTCCTGTCTCACAAAAAATTGGACGTCTCTGTCAGCTCTGTTCAGATCCTGATTGATCCAATAAACTTCTTTCTTTGCTTTTTCAGAATCCACTTCTATCTTCCAACCTTTACCATAGTTACTCCAATGCAATGCAGCCTCTTTTGATTTTAGTTTTACAATCAGCGGTCTAGGTTGATGTTCCCTGCTTTCACCAGATTCAGTTAATTTACCTGCCCGGAAACAGGACACAATCACGTCTTCTTCCATGCCACAGGTTTCATGTAAAAACTTGAGATCATTGCTTTGAGATCTGTTCTCTTTGATAGCCATTTCGGGAACGTGTCTGATGATCACATTACATTCTCTTTTGATCCGTTCGATCTTGTCAGCATCAATCTGTTGGACTGTTGCCGTCACTAATTGAGTTGGTGGCTTGTCACTAATAGTTGCCTGGAGGTCAACCTTTGCTGCATCAACGTAGCTCTTCACTTTTGAAGATGATTCATTGACTATATCTTTTTTGACAGCAGCCATTGCTGTTGGTAACTCGTTCTGCAGACTGTTTTTAACAGCATTGGTAACCGTTTCATTAATGGTTTCACTCAACTTAATCAGCACTGTTGTCGCATTGACAATGCAGTGTGGACACTTATATTTTGTTGATCAAAAGCACCTGATCCTCGTCAAGTCCTGTCAGTCCAACACAATCAAGATGACACCATTTGTTGCACCAATCACATCTGATCCATAGAGAATCATCAATGTGTTCGTTGCAGAAACAATCTTCTTCAGGTTTAGTACGTTCTTCTTCAGCTTGTTCATTCGTCTCTACATGTTCTCTACTGGCTGGGGCACTATCAGTGTGCCCCGTTTGCCCGTCATTGTTTACCATCCCTGAACTCAATAAATGTAATAGATTTGTAGTGTTGTAATTAGTTTAATTGTCAAGGACAGAAAGTCATACACCAAATGAGCATTATTATATGTTCATTGTAATAAATTTGTTGATCCTGTAAAATGAGCTAAAATTAAATTTCTTGTTTCATTGAGTTTCTTGTTTCATTGGGAACAGAAAATTTAGCAGTTCTTCTCAAACAAAGAAATATCCAACTTTTGATAACTAGAAGTGATTGTCTGTGATTTGTAATGTAAGCTGCACTAATGTTATCATGATATAATTTTATATTCTCAGATGTCAGTAGATGAGTTTGAAGATAGAGATGACAAGTGTGTAAACTGTCTGGAGATCAACCCTCGAGAAGTGAAGATCAAGTGCGAGGAATGTCCGGAGGGCCTCATACTTTGTTTAGAATGTTTCAGTTGTGGTGTGGAGGTGGGACAGCACAAGAAACATCACAGTTACAGCTTTTTTGATCCCGGAAGTTTTCCTCTATTTACCCCAGATTGGTGTGCTGCTGATGAGTTACAGCTCCTAGATGCTCTGGAGGAATATGGTTATGGTGATTGGGACCAGTGCACACGGTACTTAACAGACCGTACTCCTGGTGAGATCTGCAGCCATTTTGAAGAGTTCTATCTCAGTGGAGTTATTGCCAATTATCTGAAGGATGTATTACGAGATCCAGCCGCTAAATCGTGTTTACTCTCCCCCAGTCTGACTGTTACTCCAATGAGGGTCGAGGTAAACAAAACAGATTGTCTAGAGTTGGGCTACCTTCCTAAACGGGATGATTTTGAGCGTGAGTATGACAATACTGCTGAGGAGCTGATCAGCAAACTCGTGGCTACTCATAACGATGAACCAATTGAGGCAAAGCTGAAGTTCACACAAGTTCAAATTTACAATAAGAGGTTGAAGGACAGGGCTATGAGAAAGAAAATAGCAAGAGAGTACGGTTTGGTGTGTGACAAACAGAGAACTGTTGTGGTTAAGGGAAAGAAAATGGATCAGAAAGAACTACGTTCAAAATTGCTTCCGTTTGCCAGATTCATGACTTGTACTCAGTTTGATAAATTAGCATGTGGGTACACTAAATCTGAGAAACTGAAGGATAAAATAGAAGAGCTACTTGCCTTCAGAAATCAAGGAGTTGCTAAGATGAATGATAGTCGAGAGTATGAGGTTAGGAGAATGCAGCGAGAAAAGAGGAGACGTGAGGAGAAAAATTGGAAACACTCCTCCAAAACGGCTCTCATTTAACTCCATGAAGAGCATAGAATGCACCTCTAAATCAGAAAAAGAAATCGGAGAATTTTCTGACTCGAAAAGTTTGTCAAAAAACGAAAAAGACTTGTGTTCGTCTTTGCAGTTAACGCCTCAGAAATACATGTCTGCTAAAATGTGCATAATAAGAGAAAAACTACACCGAGATCTTGGTCTGGCTAGCAGTAGCAAGGCTAGTAGGTTCCCTGACTCTGTTACCAACCTTTCAACAATAGAAAGATCGAAAATAACTGAGTATTTACGATCAGCTGGTTTTATATCACTAGCTACCTAGCTGGATCTAAAGCTAGGTATAAATTATTTATAACCAATCAATATCTTTATAGTAGTTACGTGAATTAAGTAAATGTTAACTAGTGTCTAGATGGAAAAGCTCAGTGGAGTATTGAGTAATCAGCAATGGCTACACTTTTACCGCAAGGTACGAGCTCTGATAATATTTATGGTTCATTGAAGTTTGAAGTGTTGGTAGATTGCAGTTTACAGTATCATATTCTTATGAGTAATTGTTTAAAATAATCTTATTCTTAATGTTAATGATACTTTATACGTAATGTTGATTATATTAACATAGCGATGTGGTGGTCTATATTGTCCATGCTATTTCATGAATACCTCACTCAGTATTTGCAAAACTTTATACTAATACTATCATAGATTGTGAGAATTATAACGTGAGAATTAGCTTACATCAAAATAAGTTTGAGAATAATTTGTGTATATGTTATTTGAATGACAATGAAAAGTTTCAAAGCATAATGTTTTGCCATAGTTGAAAAAATCATGTTTAATCAACTTTGTCAAGTTTATTACATTATAATTGTATCTAACCGATTTTTTTCTTATTTTTTATGTCACAGTCACACCTAAATTTACTGGCAATCTTATTAGTTATTTTAGCATCGGTCTATGTCTTTAATTATAGGGTAATTTAAAATTATTGTTTGTTTTGATTTGCGTAATTATAACATAATCACATAATTAGTTTTAACGCAAAATCGTGTCCTTTTCTAGACATTGCTGAGCTGTTCCCTCTTACTACAGAATGCTATACCGCAGCTCTAACTTTATATCTTGTTTACGACTGTATAAAAATAGCTGCGTTATTTTGTCAAGATGTAAGTCTTCTTATGGAGATTTGGTAAACAGCAAAGGACTCGACGGGGCAGTAAAACTCGGCGACTCAAAGTTTTGGGATGATCAGTACTCTAAAGATGATTACAAGAAGACTGAATGGTATATAAATGCGACAAAAGCTGCTTCTTTTCTCCACCAAATTTTACTGCAGCGGGATATTCTTCATCCCAAAAAACTTAACATTTTATTGGAAATAGGTTGTGGAACAGCCCCTCTCATCCTTCCACTTACAGAATATTTCAAGAAATCAAAGTTCAAAATATTGGGTTTTGCAACTGATGCCTCTAATGTTTGTATTTCTGAGCTGAAAACAAGCCATGCAAAGTCTGTTTCTGACCTCAAAAATCCAAAACAAACTATTCTTCGATGTGATGCTGATGGGAATGCCTTAACTTTTATATCTCGAGGAGTTTACTGCAGTGTTCTTGACATCAGGGATTTGAAAGCCTTCTCTCAGTACATGAAGTATTTCCCTATAACAGACATCGATTCTTATAAGAGTCAGGTTGGCTTTAAAAAAGGGGACGACTTAAAAGGTTACAGGACAAATATCATTGCCATTGACAAAGGATGTTTAGATGCCCTGATATGGGATAAAAATATAGAGCTCGTCAAGAATGTACTCGGTCATTGTGATGCTGTGGTGTCAATATCCGGTGAAGATCCAGACATCAGGCTAGATTATTATCAAACTCATTATGGTAAATTATTTTCTGTTCATTTCATGGAAGATTCTGAAATCTACGGCTATAGCTTTATTAATAAAGGCAAGAATCTATCTGACTGAACTAAGAGCATTAATGTGAGTCACATATTTAATTTTATACTGGAAGTGGTTTATTTTAGCTTATTTTATTAAGAAATTAAGTTGTAAATATTACAGCTAATTACAGAATGTTGTTCCTTCCCGATTGTTCAGTTCCTTGCACATCATGATGTCACCACTTATATACAACATTGTATGGCTACATTAATCATCCATTTATTTAACTTTATACAAACAATTCTCGTGGAGTTTTATTGCTTGGCTGGCATTGTTCTAGAAATTTAACTCATATCAGTGTAATGTATAAAAGTCTACACAATTACCATACGTCGTTATGCTTTGAATTATGATAATATGGGCTTTGTGATCTTTCTGCAATTGTTGTGTTACTCGATTTGCAGACGTGCCCCTAATCATGCTAACAACTTCTTTCCAACCACTTGTTACTCAAACTTTACCACAACTTAACTTAAGTAGTGTTTCCAGAAAGGTTCAAGGTTGTACTAGAAATGGGAGTCGCTGATGAGTTATTCATGACACTTGTAGAGTTCATCTCCTCGGCGTTTATGATATTCGGGGGCGCTTTGCCTTATATCCCACAGTATTTACAGATGAGGTATTTACTGACTTGCTACTTAAAAACATAAATGACCGCATATTTAATTATAGGTCTCAAGTAATGAAGTAAAAAACTGAACTGGTTTCTGTACTTATCATAGTTGATATCAAGTTTATTTAATGTGTTATAATTTCAGAAAAGAGAATTCTTCGGAGGGATTCAGTTTAAAAGTTTGTTTAGTTCTGCTGACTGCGAACATTCTTCGTATAGCTTTCTGGTTAGTTAATTTAATTAAGTTAACTCGTTTCATTCTGTTTAAGTAGCTGTTTAAACAAAATTATCTTAATCTTGTAAATTTCGATGGATCAGTTTGCCAGCTTGATTGATCTGAATTCCGCTAATATTTACAGGTTTGGCAAGTTTTACGAAACACCTCTCTTGATACAAAGCATTGTCATGATATTTACCATGCTGTTCATGTTAGAGGTATGCATCAGACTTAGGAAGGAACATCCTTTGAGTTCAAACCTCAAGAAATCATTCACGGGTAAGGTTTTAGCCAGGTCTGCTATAATTGTGATCACGAAAAGTTTAAACTTTTAAAAATCTGATTATATATGGTTTATAATCTGGACTCATACTCCTTATCAAATTACCTACTCTAAAATATACGTATAATTAATTTAATTATCGTACCTGTTATGGTGTCAATACTAAAATAATTTACAGATTTTGAACCGAGTGATTTCTGGAACTGGAGTACGTATACTGATTACCTCCAAAGTATAATCTCCATGATAGTCATCATTTCCTTGCTCACCTACGCGTTTGTGGACAGCTCAGCGTATATTGAGGGTATCGGAACGTTATCTCTCTGTACAGAAGCTACTCTGGCATTGCCTCAACTCTTTAAAAACTTCTCGAGTGGATCGACCCAAGGGATGAGGTACTGGTCACTGTAATTTAAATCACTGCTTTGTTGTTGGAGGATAATTTGTTCCCGAATGCTGTTTGCATTCAGAATTTGTGTAATGTGCGCAACCCTCCGGCGCCTATAATTGATATCTAGCATGAAACAGAGTGGATTACTGAACTTTAGCCGTATTGCTAGTTTTTGGATGTTTTTGGTAGCCTTCTCCACGCATCACGTATCTGTTTTCGCGCGCACGCGCGCGTTCGATAAGTGGCCGGATCGAGAGTCGATTCAAAACAAAGCCGTGGACCGAATGTGGTAAACGTGGTAAAAGAAGAGGGTAAAGTTTTGAGTACCTATTTACGAGACATATTTGTATATTTGAATGGTACGAAAGTCGGTGGTTTTCGAAAAAAAACACCATATTTTCGGACTACCAAAATTTAGGTCACCATCATTATTTTAGCCAAATTATTTTTCACGTATTTTCCTTAATTATGACTTTATCGATTTACTATCAACTTTTCAATATAGTAAGTTATTAATATGATTCATCAAACAATTAATGAACACTAGTAATCGATCATGAATTGCTTTAAAAATGATTTTGGGCACGTTCCATTAAAAATAAGCAAGCTCTGTCACTACATTATTGGCCACGGCGGTGAAATATCGGGATTAGTGGAAGATAACAAACATTTTCGGTCTCCTTACCCTCTGGAGGATTATAAGTTAAATTGAGGCTAACTTTCAAAGAAATTGTTTACAAGATGAAACAGCTGATGAGAGAAAATCTTTGTATTTAATTTTCTCAAATTTTGGGTTTCATTTTTATAAAATTAGGAGATGAAAAAATCCCCAAATTAATTTGGGATACGAAATGTGGCGGTTTTCGGGAAAAAATTCCCATATTTTCGTTCCCAAATCATTGAGGTCACCGGAATTATGTCTCGTAAGGTATGCAGAATTACCGATGAAATTCAGTATGTGCGGAGATCAGAACGTCAGCAATGTGACCTTCCAGTAAAGGCTATGATTGATGCTGAGTATGTGATATGGTTGATACTGGAGTCATGGAGTGTGGGTTGAGTTAAACTGTTATGGTCGAGTTAAACAGTTTAAGTTTGGAGTTATGATTAAAGGGGAAATCTCAACTCCGAGAGTTTTATCTGACCCCATCTCTGATACTTTAGGTTGAAAATTTACATAATTTCTTACAATTTGCTTACCATTGCTTATACCAATTCCGTCATCAAATCACTCCTTTCAGTGTCAAGATGGTAATGCTTTGGTTCCTAGGAGACTCCTTTAAAACATTGTACTTCATCATGCGAGCAGCTCCCCTTCAATTCTTGCTCTGTGGATCAATCCAGACTTTGGTCGATGTATTTATCTTATATCAAGTCCTTTCTTACGGTGATGAGAAACCGAAATAAAGCGAACAAAAAATGTTACTTAAAATTTCTCCCACTTGTTTTACTAACCATTGTTTTAAGTTTTCTTTCCTGATCTGATATTTGAAAATATGTATTAGCTGGATAATAGCCTGCTGTTGCGGTAAAGGCCCACTTACAGCCGGTTAATAGCCGGCTACTATCCATAACAAAACACAAGTAAGTGTCTACTATTAGCCGGCTGTTAAGATTTCCCTTAAAATAAAGAGATCACCGAGTTGGGTAAAAAGGGGTGTTCAAAATTCAATTAAAACGGTTATTAGCCGGTTGTAAGGTATTTGTGGCCCCAGAATGGCTATTAGAGGGATTTAGAGGGCTGTTATCGTAACAGCCGGGTAATAACCGGTCGGCAGTGTACCTATTTGCCCTAATGTTTTGTAGTTTAGTGTTTTTTAATATATCAGGTGAACTCTTTCATTTTAGTTTGCGCCTCATGAAAACTATAAACCATGCACAATTAATGTGGATACTGGTGGGGAGGTGAACTATATGTGTTCTGGTTGGTCGCTGCTGGAAGTTGATAAGTTAATACCTGACTTGGCTCACCTCCCCACAAATATCCAAGTTTACAATTTTCAGATTTTTTGTTAATTAATTTTCGTTTGTAACCTCTGTACCACTATCATTGGCGTATCTTCTTAACTTTGGATGGATATTTGTCAAGTTGAATACATGATTTTTAGTTTTAGCCATTATTTTACAACAAGATATTAAATCCGACATCACTTAAGTTAAATTGAATTAAATGTTCATTCGAAATATATGTTTTTAGATAAAACTGCTCGCAGCAAATTCTGTATGAAAACGAATAAATTATCTCAAAATATTGTGACTGAAAGGCGATCTAAAATTTCGATGTCCACTGAAGTCTTTCAAAACAAGCCATCCAGGTTATGGTCCATGCTTCATTCAGGTGATGTTGTAAACCGCCTTTATTCCGTCAAATTGCTTCCTGTAGCAGGACCTGGGCACAAACGTGTCCTTTCCCAGAAGAATTCCAGTGCTTGGTCTCAGATTGGGTTCTCTGGTGGCTGGCGGTGCTGCAAAGTGGTTGGAGTGGGTCGTACCCTCACCCAGCGAGGTTTTGTCAAACAATCCTGGTTAAAATGTATTCGTTAGAAAACATACATTTTTAGGTGACTTCTTTTAAAGCACCTACAGTTAAAGTCAGTGGTATTAAAGCAAAGAATTCTAAGGTCCAAGACATGTTTAGCTTAACGTTTTGCTCTGATTCAGGTCATCCCCTTAGTCAATAGTCAGACATCCTCAGCTTGCTCAGTACATATATATAGTAGGGGTCGTAGCCTTGGGGCTTCTATCAAGAGGGAATTTTCAATTGATGCCCATACAAATTGATTTACCCAATTAAATGCTATAATAATTATTAGAACTACCAACCAGTATCAGGAATATAGCTTATATGAGGTCGGCCGTAGTTGCGTTTAGAGTAATCGCCGTTAGTGGTGACGAAGCTGCGGTCCCCGTTGGGACCGGGCAGTTCCTCTTTGTGGGGGAAGGGGGCATCTCGTGTGCTTGCCTCACCCGCAAACTGGTACGAGTAGCTCGTCATATTCTGAGGTGGTATCACTCGTAGGGTCTTGTCTGTTTTAAATTTAGACGAATCAACATTTATTTGATTGATATTACTCTAGTAGCAGAGAGGAGTTGAGTGTGCACTTCAATGTCCACAATTTTAGACCACACAGGGTCTTTCATTAGGTCATTCCAAACCAAAATCATCTAGGTAGCAATTTTGTATCGCTAGTCCCAGTCCTACAGGGCGAAATTTCTAAATTGCCCTCAGGCGCCAATTTGGGATTTTTGTATCTCGGCTTCTAAAAGACTTAGAGACTTGAATATTGGCTTAAAATAACGGCAATACCCTTATTTATATACAAGTTATGAAGCAATATAAGGTCTCAAGTGCCTAGTTTTAAAGATATTTACGAAAAACTGTTTTTTGGCTCATCGCAGCCGGAATTATCGGATTATTTTTATATCTCGAGCTAGAAAGGTCGTAGAAACTTCTCCGATATTGAAAAATATTCGCAATGAGCACATGTATATAAGACTTATGAATCATCGAGCCAAACCAGCTAACTACCGACCTATATCACTCACCTCTCATGTGGTTAAAGTATACGAGAGGGTGATAAGAAAAAAGCTGGTAAACTATTTGGAGATCAACAACCTCATATGTAGTAAGCAGCACGGATTTAGATCTGGCCGGAGTTGCCTTACTCAACTTCTCCACCATTTTGATGACGTTTTGGATTCTCTGAGCAACAATTCAGATTTTGATTCAATATACCTCGACTATGCCAAGGCTTTCGATAAAGTCGATCACAAACTCCTACTGAGAAAGCTCCAACTCTATGGAATCCATCCTAAAATCATAAAGTGGATAGAATCTTTCCTCTCAGACCGGAAACAAGCAGTTGTTGTTGACGGTCATCTGTCCATCCTTGCACTGATAATCAGCGGAGTTCCACAAGGTACTGTTTTGGGGCCGATCCTTTTCTTGATTTTTATCAATGATATCGAACATTGTATCATGCACTCTATAATTCGATGTTTTGCTGATGACACTCGCATATCCATTGCTATCAAATCGAAGCATGACGTCAAGCTCCTCCAAGAAGATCTGCAAAATGTCATTGACTGGTCTGAAAGAAATAATATGGCCCTTCACAAAGACAAATTTGAGTACATGTGTCATAAATTCAACCACCAATATGTACTATCTGAACTTCCATTTGTGGTTGAACACTATCAATACTCAGTTTCCAAAGACACTATACTTGAGCCAATACATCAGCTCAGGGATTTAGGCGTCATAGTGTCAAGTGATCTCTCTTGGTCCCCTCACATACGAGCCATTGCAGATAAAGCTCGCCAAAAAGCATCATGGGTTCTCAGTGTATTTCACACACGATCTCACTCCATCATGCTGACGCTATACAAATCAATGGTTCGAAGTCTGATTGAATATTGCTGTCCATTATGGCATCCCTCAAAAATCAGCGATATCCAAGAACTGGAGAGTGTACAGAAAGCATTCACCGCCAGAATATCAGGAATGCGCGATCTCCACTACTGGGATCGCCTGGTCTATCTATCTCTGATGTCTCTTCAACGAAGGCGGGAGCGATTCATCATTCTCCATATGTGGAAAATCCTCCACGGAAAGACCAGCAATGATCTGAACGTTCTATTTGTTTCACGCCCAAGGCTTGGAAACCTTGCAGTAATTCCATCAAAACGTAGAACCAGTTCAACAGCAAACCTCACCTTGTTTGACAACTCATTTGCAGTTCAGGGACCTAAATTGTGGAATGCAATCCCCTACCATCTGAATGTCATTCAAGATCTAGAGCACTTCAAAGATAAGCTCACAAAGTTCATGTTGTCTCTCCCTGATAAGCCGCCGATCAGGGGATATACTCCACCAAATACGAACTCTCTGCTGTGCTGGCGCAACGAGCGAGACTCTACTTCGCTATGGGGTGGTCAGAAGATGTGATGGCCCCGTCAAGTCTTGACGAAACTCAACATAGGACATAGGTAGGTAGGTCATTGTATGCTCTAAAATGCTTATTTGTAGAGATATTAGCAAAAATCGGTAATTTTGGCTACACCAATACAAATTTGGTAATTCGTTTTGTCTTTATTTTGCAAATTTTCACGTTGCAATTTTCAAGATGCGGTTTGTGGCTATCGATAGGGCTTTATATGCTATTGTATGGTTTTGATACAATCCTTCAGCACCTAGGACATAGGCAATAGGGGTCACAAACTCTGAAATGTCAGGAACTGGGCAGTGGCCGAGATACATATTTGATAATTACTTTGACTCTTGACTCACATTCATCTTTTCAACGGTTAGTTAGACATCTTAAACCAGTATTGAACGTTGAGTAAAACTTCTAATCCATTTGTAGCTCAGGTCATGTGCCCCAGAAAAACACGCCTGAGTGACAGTGGGCCTTATCGATCATGAGCCGCAAATCACAAGGGCATTCGTACTCTTGGCTTAAATTGGCTCTTCGTTAGTATCATCAATTAGGTTTTTAACTTATATTATATCATCTGCCTGTCCAGTGTCCATCCGTCTCTTTGAGATTCATTATTAATTCAAGTTCAGTCATTTCGTTTCTGTTCAACTGTAGGCGTAATGAGGAACTTCAGTCCAGCAATAAAGTCAATATCTCTAGATTTAGCAATATTTGGTTTCGCTACTTTTAAGGTTCAAGATTATATCTAGAGATAAAGGAGGTGAATCTTTTTTTATGCCAGTATGAATTATGATAGGGAAGACTGCTGAAAAAGGAACTTTAAAATGAGCTATGTTAAGCAAAAAATCAGCATTATACCATGTGCATTACCAGTGCTCCAGTATAACTAGTGCCCCGGGGGTGGGGGGGGGGGGGGGGGGGGGGGGCAATATTTTGGGGCAGTAGGGGCGTAGGGCTGGAAACTTACAACCTTGCTTGCTGAACACAATTACCTTAAAAGTAGCGATACCAAATATTGCTAAATCTAGAGATATTGACTTTATTGCTGGACTGAAGTCCCTCATTACGCCTACAGTTGAACAGAAACGAAATGACTGAACTTGAATTAATAATGAATCTCAAAGAGACGGATGGACACTGGACAGGCAGATGATATAATATAAGTTAAAAACCTAATTGATGATACTAACGAAGAGCCAATTTAAGCCAAGAGTACGAATGCCCTTGTGATTTGCGGCTCATGATCGATAAGGCCCACTGTCACTCAGGCGTGTTTTTCTGGGGCACATGACCTGAGCTACAAATGGATTAGAAGTTTTACTCAACGTTCAATACTGGTTTAAGATGTCTAACTAACCGTTGAAAAGATGAATGTGAGTCAAGAGTCCAAGTAATTATCAAATATTTATCTCGGCCACTGCCCAGTTCCTGACATTTCAGGGTTTGTGACCCCTATTGCCTATGTCCTAGGTGCTGAAAGATTGTATCAAAACCATACAATAGCATATAAAGCCCTATCGATAGCCACAAACCGCATCTTGAAAATTGCAACGTGAAAATTTGCAAAAAAAAGACAAAACGAATTACCAAATTTGTATTGGTGTAGCCAAAATTACCGATTTTTGCTAATATCTCTACAAATAAACATTTTAGAGCATACAATGATTCATAAGTCTTATATAAATGTGCTCATTGCGAATATTTTTCAATATCGGAGAAGTTTCTACGACCTTTCTAGCTCGAGATATAAAAATAATCCGATAATTCCGGCTGCGATGAGCCAAAAAACAGTTTTTCGTAAATATCTTTAAAACTAGGCACTTGAGACCTTATATTGCTTCATAACTTGTATATAAATAAGGGTATTGCCGTTATTTTAAGCCAATATTCAAGTCTCTAAGTCTTTTAGAAGCCGAGATACAAAAATCCCAAATTGGCGCCTGAGGGCAATTTAGAAATTTCGCCCTGTAGGACTGGGACTAGCGATACAAAATTGCTACCTAGATGATTTTGGTTTGGAATGACCTAATGAAAGACCCTGTGTGGTCTAAAATTGTGGACATTGAAGTGCACACTCAACTCCTCTCTGCTACTCTAGTATATTGGTTTTAAAAGGAGTTCACTGATTAAATTTCGAAACTTAAAGATGCGTACCCCCATCTTGTTTGCAGACAGTTTAATTTGAGACTTGGGTCTGGCAGGAATGTGGATAGCTTTGGTTGTTTTCACCATACTGAGCTTTCCGTCCATAGTTGGTTCCCTAGCAGCAGCAGTTGGGACGTAATTTTTACCGGAGTATGGCCTGTATGCGTCTTGTAATGTAGTCGACTTTTCCATTCTGAGGTGGGAAATTGTTATTGACTCGAAATGGCACCGCTACAATTCAATCTCAATAAGATTGGAATTAAATACTAAAGCAGTTTCAAAGCAGTTAGCTCAAAAGGTCTCCTAGCTTCCTAGCCCCGTTTCATATATTGTTAATTAAAATAGCACAAGTCAAAAGAAGTGTCGTATTATTACCCATCTGAAGATAGTTTTATTAGGTCAGGTGGTCCTGAGCTGATGAACTTCGCATTCGATTTTGCTGAGATACCGTCCGAATAGTCTGACGCGAAAGTTGTTGCGTGTGCCTTGTCTCCCTGGAACAGATTCAAAGAATCGGGGAAATTGAAGGCAACCGGTTTATATTCCGCTAACTTCGACATGTTCTGAGGAGTTCGAAGTTTAGATAACTAAATCAATATGTATTTTTTAGATTATAAAATTGCGAATGCAGTTTATTCAAAGTTGGGCCATCTACATGAAATATCAAAAACATTAATCAAGCAAAATATGTTATATCGTTTCGAACGATTGCTTAAATATTGTGATGAATAGTATTAGTCGTTATTAGAAAGTAAATACTGATAGATTTTCGACCATGCAAGATGATACAAGTTCATATATATCGTTAATCACTTTCCACCACGCTAGTACAGTCATAACAGATAATGAAACTAGAAACACCCCGCAAGAACAATGAAAGCTTTCGATAGCAATTAGACAAATTGGAACTTTATTTTAAGCTATCTGTGATCACTGATCAGGTATGAAAGTGAAGAACCTTTGCTTAACAAGTTTTGTAAAGTATTATTGAGCAGTGCAGGGGTGCAGCTGGGCCACTCAGAACAGAGCACAGCAGCAAAGCAAAGCTCGAATCACTGGAGATCTGCACGACACACATAATACCATAATGATATTGAAATTTTTAGTGCAAGCTGCACGCAAACTAAATTTCCTGATAGAAAACAGCCGGTCTCCATGTATTTGTAGAGTGCAAACACTGGGTGGGGGCTATTCTGTGGTTTTGACAGTAATTGATCACATGTGGTGATAAACCTAAATTAGACGTGAAAATTTTATTGAAAATTTGGTGGAATAATCTTTGCAAAGTTTGATGTATAGCAACAACAAAGGTCATGTAAGACACAAATGAAAGACTGAGTTGGTAAAGAACGGAGCGAGATCAGCCATGCAGGGGTTTTAAAACTTGGGCGTCTTGAGATGCAGCACATCTTAAAATCATGCTTAGTTACGAATAAATAGAGATGGACAACTTGTTAATCTTTTATACTTGGAACAGCTTCCGTAAATTTAAAATAATTTATTCAATTCTATATAATGATAGAAGCGAAGTTCAGCATGAGAGCTTGTGCAAAGTTTGCATGCAAACAATCAGAGTGTTTTATCGATGCACTAAACGGAGGTAAGAATAAAACGGCTGGACGGCATTTTGCGGTGTAACAGTCTGGAGTAGAGTGAGAATACTTGTAGATTTAATTTGTTTCGTAAATGTACATGAAGTACCAAAGCGAACGGAAAATACTGATCTAGAGTTAGATAAACAAAATTCTTGCATATCAAATGATCCATGAAAGTAGTATAAATGGATTGCACTTACCAGTAATGGATCTTCAAGTTGTAGATAAGATTCAAGATTCTTCTATTGCAGCATTTTGCGACGTATATGATTTTTATTTTAATCATGTAAAAATCATGTATCATCATTAAAAATGTAATCCGCAAAATTCTGTAGTAAAAGGTAATGACTAATGCATAATGCTACAGTTAATCTTTAAATGGCATGAAAATTGGTACCAAACTTATGCATTATGGGCCTGATCTTTGATATGTATCTAAACAATACACAATATAATATCTAATCTACAATTTACGACAGCTACATTCAAAATTTGGACACGAGTCTTGAAAAACCCTTGATACATGTTACGTATCCCAAATATCAGAGATATATATTTTTAAATATATATTTATTAAAGTGGCATGCAACGTATGTCAAACAACCACGTAGATCACAGAAATACCTGGTCCCAAGAGAATTGAAATGGTTCCATAAAATGGCTTCGGGATCAGGGTCAATTTTTGTTATTGGGGCCTTAAATCACATTTTCCTCACGTTTCGAGTCATCTGTAATCTGTAATTTAAATTACTGTCCTTTATGTTTAACTCGTTTTCGAAATTTATGTCTTTCCAATAAGATGATTGCCAATTAACCAACTGCCTAGCAACATTCAGAGGAAAAGATTTTCCTCAAGAAGTCAAGACCAGTTCACAGTTCAACATTTTCCGTCCCGAAATCGTATTTTACCCTGAGCTTCATTTTCAAATGTTTGCCTTCATTTTATATACTTTAGTTAAAAGCTAGCAAATTAAAAAGTGATCGATATCAAAAATCTTGTTTAACCACGTCACTTGACAGGATCTATCAAAAACTGTGGGGCTGGCACGAAGGGCAAATAGTTTGTAGTTGAAAACTATTTGCTCCCCCCACTGAGACCGCAAGCACGACGTGTTGCTTTTACTTGGGCCATTTAAAATCCTAGAGATGGTTGATAAAATGTCTCTACAGTGGTAGTAGTTGAAGTTGTAGAAGTCCTACTCTTCAGGGATAGAGATGATCACCTCAGCTGGGGCAGGTGCGACCATTACTTGGTGAGTTTGAGTACTCTGACATCCCACTGTAATTCCTTTTCCTTCTTCCATGTCAATGATAGTTGACATGTCTTTAACCAGCAGTTGGCTTGGAAGACTGGCAGCTTTTTCTGTAGCCCAACAGCCACGTTGTTAACAAGAACTGTACCGCTCAGAGGTTCTCCTGTCCAGGTCCGCTAGTTTGTCGTATAGTTCACGGACTGAGATGAAGGGTAGACCTCTCTCAAATCCGTGGCAGCAGAATACCATAGTCCCTCCTCGGACGATGGCGATGAGAATCAAGATTGTACTTGGTTCCATTAATGTAGTGTTCGTTAATCTTCGCGAAAGAGAGATGCAATGAAGTAATTAGCACTGAACACATGCGTGCGCGTTGTCATGGTTGGGAGCAGTTGGCACGTGCAATTCTATTTCTACATTTTGTGCGTACTGATCCAAGAAACAGTGTTCATCTTTGGATCGGTGCCAACTGCCCGAATCAATATTTTAGGCATCTGCCTCCAAACCGGCACATAATAATGCATAATGCAGAGTTAAGTTGACGGTATCGTGATTCGTGATATATTAGAAATTTTGATATATTAGAAATTTTGATATATTAGAAATTTTGTAGGTATGCCAGATTGTAGCAACCCAGGCGGCAGGCTAATGTAAAATCTAACATGATCGAATATGCAAACATTTGTAGTGCCCAATATTTGCTGCCTGGAGTCCTACTACGTACTTGATTTTAGCTATGTCGCCTCTGAGCCGGAGTTGATTATTGGAAGTAGACGTTTTTAACTATGAATATTGAATAGATGACGTGATTTTTTATAACAAGTTATGCTGGGATATCACTGCTTGGTCAAATCCCCCGATTAAGATCATACAATTAATCCGACTTAGTATTCTCTGTCTACTGAAGCATATTAAGATTGGTACAATTTAGATCTGACTACTTTAGTTTGGGTTGAGTCGGAGGGTCCGGTTCATCGTACTTATACACAAAGACGGCCAGACTGGAAACTATGTCATAATAAGTTACTGGATAGCAGCTGTGTTGGTCTGTAGTCGAATCGGATCTTTTGGCCATGCATATTTCGCGGCTGTTAGTCATATGTTTGTGGAATTCGGAGAATTACTCAGTATTTAGTATCCGGCTAACTGAAAGAAACAAAGGCTTGAATCCATTAGCACTATCAACGCAATATGTAATGCATTACGACATATATCATGGGTTCACGTTCAATGGACCTCTTAGAATTGCTCAACTTGGCATCATTTGTTTCCGTTTCACGCTCTAATCCGATCTGAACAGTTTTCTGATTCCAATTTCTACAACTTCATTAGGTGAAACCTACGTGCTGCGCGCAGCATTATCAAAATTTTCACCGAAATCGAAGACCGTCTCATCACGTTTTACCGCTTAATTATCCCACCGTACCACTAAAATTTCTGATATAGATTTGTTACCAAAATACATACTCTTCCGTTAAGAATAGAAAACTTAGTTCAACTACAAAACTTGAGCAATTTATAACACACCCTTAATTACAATGTGATTAATATTGAAATTGATCAAACATATCTTGAGTGAAACCAGCGATAATCCAATTTAACATAGAATGAAAAATGTTTGCCCCATATCAATTACATTAATATTTATAAATTTGAATGAGAAAGGGCTTTACACCTAAATTAATTAATCTACTGGTAAATTAAATTTCTATAAATGGAGAAATCAAGTCTTATAAAAGAGAGCACACGGGACAGTGTATAACAACTCTCCACAAATTCACCGTCCTCAACAATCTTCCACTTAGAGTCAATGAAAGTCAATCAATTCTATCAATTATTACCATCCTTGTCAGTGTAAAACTCACAGCGTTTGGTTTAATAAAAACCAAAATTTTGAACTGAAAGAATAGCCCAAAATTAAAAGAAATCTGATTTCATCTCAAAACTTGAAAAGCAAGGAATGAAAATCCATTCATTGGGTTGAGTGATAAGAAGTAACATTTCTAAATAAGCAATTGCATAACATTATCAAAATTAATTAGCTAAAACGCGGCAGAAAAACGCAGTCTGTTTACCAAAAACAGCACATTTATCATAGTTCTTGACAAAATGTTGACAAAAATATATCTGTCGATAAGACCTAGCTTGGGCAACAAATTTGAGCCCCTTCTTTCACATCATTATATAATATAATCGAGGTGTAGAGGCGCTAAAACAAAACATTTGATAAAATTATTTTTCCCACGCACAGAGGTACTCCTTTTTGTTGTCTCTGAATTGTGGCTTTTGTTTGGGGTTATCAAGAGGCTTCACTAAAAATAAGCGCTCCTCCCCATTTGGCGACGTAAATATTGGTGATTTGTGGGTATAATGTCTAATGATGTCCTCCATCGAGTTGAATCGTCGGTTTCCTATCGCGTACTGATTTTCGATTAGCTGAACTTTAAAGTGCTTTGGTTTGTCTAACGCTTTCAAAGATATCGAGTAGTCACCAACCTGTAGAGTTTATATTATTGTTTACTAAATAAGTTCCTAAAAATAAGAATAAAAGGGCTAAACTTTGAGTGGTATCACTTAATCAAGGCCTGTTTGTCACAAAAAACGGACTTGAGATATTGATTATCATTTTAATTACAATTTAATTACAATTTTGATATTACTTTCACTTTCAAATTTTATCTGACCTTGCTCTCGCTGTCTCGGATGAGGAAGTCTCCCTCATTTCCGTTCTCCATGAGAATGTTATCACAACTCCTCCGCGACATGGGACCGAAGTACCAGGGCTTACCAGAGAATGGACTAACATAATTGTCCGCTGGGCGCTCAACCGCTTGTGGCAGACGCGGGAAACTGTGGAAATATCTGGTTAACGCGGTAAACTGTTAAATAATGTGGTAAACGCGAATAGGGTGTTGAAAACGAGAAAATTTGTGAAAATGTGGAAAACGCGGGAAAGTTTCTTTGGGAATTTGTGGCCTCTTCGAAGCTGGTGTGTAAAACGCTATGTATGTATGAACTGAGTAATGTACAAAATGTGCACTGTATAAGTACAAATCGTATCTGTAAATGACTGTAAAGTACAAGTGCACTGAGCCCCTCACAGAGTACAAGTGCACTGAGCCCCACACAGAGTACAAGTGCACTGAGCCCCACACAGAGTACAAGTGCACTGAGCCCCACACAGAGTACAAGTGCAATGAGCCCCACACAGAGTACAAGTGCACTGAGCCCAACACAGAGTACAAGTGCACTGAGCCCCACACAGAGTACAAGTGCACTGAGCCCCACACAGAGTATGCACTGAGCCCCACACAGAGTACAAGTGCACTGAGCCCCTCACAGAGTACAAGTGCACTGAGCCCCACACAGAGTACAAGTGCACTGAGCCCCTCACAAGGGCTCATGATACAAATTTAGCAATTTTGTTTCGTTACTTGTAAACCACACTATATTTATACGATTTCATTTGCACACTAGGACTGCCATAGTATAAACATGTGTCACATGGCTTCCCTTTATTTCATGATAAATATCATATCAGCTGATTTCTTAGCTGATTTCTCAGGTGATTTCTCAGGTGATTCCTCTGGTGATTTCTCAGGTGATTTCTCAGGTGATTTTTCAGGTGATTTCTCAGGTGATTTTCAGGTGATTCCTTGACCATAATGATAACTTCGGATTACTGAATTACCCAGATAAGATAAATGCTCGTACCTCACTATTATGCTTGTGAAAACACTGCTTCACATCTCACTTACTATCGCACAACATTGACATGAGTCCAAACTTCAAATATGCACATCTTTCAGGCTCACTTCACGCTTCCCAGGTCAGAGAGTATCTGAATTTAGGAAGAAAACGTCTCGCAGCAGTTCATCACATTGGTGTTCTCTCGAGAAGAGTTGGTCACGTGCGCTACCATGGTAGCCTAAGTAGTGATTTACATAATACGATTAATCCGGTATAATTTCAACGCATGGCAAATAAAAGTTACTGTGGGCTATAAAAGATGTACCAAAACTTATTTGAGACTTGAGGGTATCCTGGCTGATTCAGCAGCTTGTTCTATCACTCTAGCTTGTCAGTTTGCTGCCGATACAACATTTACCTTTCATTTCATTTGCTGTACTCTTGACTTTGCACTTGCTTTTTCAATTATGTTTCTTAGAGTTACACGAGCTTTGACAGTTGTATGACATCATTAAGCTGTCACTGACCATTCGCCTCTCTCTTTTTTAATATCAACTCTTAATCAATATGTGAGAAATCTGTGTTAGGGTGTGTTATAACAAAGGCAGCTTAACAACCAATATCGTCAGCTAAATAGATAACTCCTATCTGCTTTTACACCAAAAATAAACGACCGACTTTTCTACACTACATATCTAAGGAACTTTCACATTTACGTCAGCAATTTTTTGCCCAATTTAGAGCCCCTGACCCCTTTTGCCAGAAACAGTCAGCATTGAACACCCCTCCCCTTAAATAGGTCAGCATTACGTCTACCTTTATATTTATAAACCAAGACAACACACCCATTCTTAACCATACGTTACAACATGGGAATATTACTGTATATAACAACAAACTCTCTCCGGTCCAGTCTGACTCATTGGGCAACCTTTTGTTGCACTAACACTGCCGTTTGTTATACCGCAGATCTGGTATCTTATTACAATAAATACAAAGCTAGTAGTATGTCATTGGCAGTGCAACACACCAAGATACACACACTCTCAATGCTATCAGCTCACAAGTACATAACAATATCCACAAAACATAATGCGCATACCACCAATGTACACATTTAAAAAATGATACAGAGATATCGTGTACTTATTATATACCAGGGGAGACACACTCACACACATGATGCGATAATATCACATCTCTCTCTCTCGGCAGCAGTGGTCATGTCACGTACTGCGGACCAGGCTCTCTGTATTGCAGTACAGAACATGTGACTGTGTGTATAGCTGCAGTGTGCAGTGTCAAATAACACAGCGCTCTGCAGTTGTAGCCGTTCGTGACTTTTGCTATTTCGGAACATTTCCACAATAATTCTGGTAAAGGAGTAGTGTGGGGTGTAGAGTGTCGGGTAAGGCTGGTTCTTATTTTACCATATAAGGTCATGTTACCATGGTATCACACTTCCAATAAGTTTATAGTGTGAAGTGTATCACTTAAACTAGTATATACGGTAACAAACCAAATTACTGTGAAAAGAGCTATCTCATTCCTGTTTTTCCCAGCACTCCAACAAGTTTTGCACAAGTTTAACACAATACATAATATCTACAGTACAGCTGATGGGAAAAGGTGAAATAAGGTAGGTGCTGATATTCATGATCTAAGAGTAGTTTAAGACCAGGGCCGGGTTAGCGTAATGTTGGAGAGTTTGTCACCCCAAACAACAGTGTATTGTAGTGCAACCAGCCTATATATGTGTCACGTGTATAGTGTTCTAGTCTGTTCTACTACAACATTCGTGCAGTTACCCAAATTGGTGTCATTCTTTTAACAGTATCAACACTACTGTTAACAGTTCCGCCAAATTTCATCCTTTTAACAGTATCACTAAAGCTCCAGTTCTAACCAATTTCATGACAATGGAAGACACATTACAACTTAATAAAGGTGAAGTATTATTACAATGACTGTAATTACACACTGAAGAGCAGGTAGCGGCGGAAATGGCCGACTAAAGGACTGGATCTAAATATAGACATTACCATATAAGGCAATGTAACCAGGGTTACAGTTCCATGTAAGGTTTAAGTGCGGTTCTGGTCGGAAATGTTCAGGATAGGGCTGGATTTGGATAATGGATTATAAACATTATAATTGAGAGAGTAAGTGTGATGTGTTTAGACTCAGGCAGTTACAAAACAGGGCCTTCACAGTTCGTGATGATTGCAATTATTATAGCAAGTAAATTTACTCTTAGAAGTATTGTTGTTAGTAGAGTTTCCTGGATTTAATTGTTTAAACTAGATAAAAACAAACACTTCACTGATAAGGAAACAAAGCCGAATTGTCAAGTTTTCCAGCGCACGTTTAAACGTAAATAGCAACGAGCCAATTTGCAAACTCAATTTAATAATTGAGACAATTAGGTAATTTAAATATGCTTGTCACACTATTAATCTGGCATTTAATTACTACACCAGGCATATAATTACTTCAGCAGTTACCAGAATAAAACTATAATTATAACTGTTGATAATATTCATTGCATTGCTGTCAATTTAGCGCACTAAAATCACCAATTAGAATATGTGCCGCATTTTGGCTGTCGAAATATTGCGTGTTAGAAATCAGTAAATTGTAAAGCAAAATCTCACCTCACCCATCTCGAAGATGGCCTGATTTTTCGCACTTAACACAGGCCAACTTTGAGACATTTCGACGGAATAATTTACTTACGGTAGAAAAAAAGATTGGATTGTGGAATTCTGAAAAGTGGAATACCCATATAAGCCCCGCTCTTGCTCTGATTCAAGTGACGAGATGACACCCAGGTCACAGCACCGCTTGGTACAGACATTACAGAACTCTATTTATACGGTGAACTCAAACTTTCAATAAGTTCACTGACATGGCCCTTGTCAGAACTCTGTAGGGCTTTGTAATGTCAAATTAACAAAGGATTATAAATGTCAACGTTTCAATGTGTTACGATATATTATATACCGTATTTTTTCTATCTTTCACCGTGACCTGGTCTGCTTGGACACAGCTCAGGTCTAATGATGATATAGTGGTGTTTTACTTGACTTAAGATCAGAATTACTGACCAAAATCCAAGAACAAGCTTGGAAGAACAAACTAAATTTTTTATCAGCGATGATTTAAAAGGTTGAAATAAAAAGAAGGCATGCCCAGATCTGTTGTATTGTTAACACTATGATTACTTCTCGTCGTCCAAGCATGATTGGATATATTTTATATTTTTTCGTTATTTTGAATGATACTGAACACTACGTTATATTAGCCGGTCATTATGATCAATAATAAATTAAATAACATTTTATTTATACCAGTACACATAAAAGATAAAAATACATTATTTTGAAACCCGAGAAGCTAATAATACAGCTGCTAGCGTCACTAACGATGGTTTAAAACCTTGCAACTACCCACTCTGGTGAGGTTGTTAAACAGAACACCATATCTTTAGGTTTGAAGGATGTGCAGGTTAGAGACAGGAGGTGGATTGTGGAAAGTATACTAACGTTATACTAACGTTATACTAACGTTATACTAACGTTATACTAACGTTATACTAACGTTATACTAACGTTATACTAACGTTATACTAACGTTATACTAACGTTATCTAAAGTATACTAACGTTATCTGTTTAATTTTTAAGATAATTTATTTTCTCGGACATTTCAAGTGTTTGTGCCTGTAACTATCAGTGTTTGGACGAAATTATCGCAGTAATAACTGTGAATCTGAGATGAGTAAAAATTGTGTTGACTTGTCACTTTTTTGCAAATTAGAAAAAAAAACAGGATAAGACACATTGAGAATGAGAGAGAGAAACTTCTCCCACTTTTGAAGTTCAGACGTGGTCGGTAACATTCACCTCAGTTTAATAACCTGCCCCAAAAAGAGCACAGAAAGTATGATACGTCAGAGAGCTCCTCACTTATTACATATTAGGGCAGGTTATATTTGCACCCAATAATAATGAATATATTGTGGTAAATATAGTACCCTGGAACTGTGACTTACACCCTGGAGAGTGAGAGAGGGAGGAGATCAAATTACATACCTCCCCAGATTCCAGAACTTTCATCAGATCAACACAAACACACACACCCTAGATAAGTATTATTACATCTTAGGGGATCAAGAGGTGGGTAATTCTGGGGGCCCGGGGCTGATTTTACTAGGTCAGATCATTTTAAGGGAGGGTAGCGTCAGGTGATTTCACAGACGAAAGGTAGAGACTGGAGTAAGTTATACGTTACAACATGATACTCTTACGAATACACTAATATGTGAGCTCTTATCTTTAGGATGGCCTGATATTGCTTGGTAGAACGATTATTAAGGAATTTTGGGCCATGGTGCGTGACTGCTTACGTTCGGTCTAATTTAATGTGTGGGGTTCTGAAGAAACGTTTCATTTACTTTTTACCTACTTCCAATACACATTCGATAGGATGTATTTTGAGCTCTGCGGGAAATGTCTTTTACTTTAACTTTATAATCCCCTATTCAAACACACTTGACTATCAGCTATGAGTAGAGGGGAACTACAGCAGGGTGTCAGTATAATTTGAAATGTAAATTCCCGTAATTGGTTAATACGGTTGCTGTCATGTGTCAAAACAGACAATTTCACTTTCTCACGCTCTTCGTCCGTGACGTCATTATCGCTTAGAACATCAGAGTGTCACGCTGATAAACCCCCTGCAGTGCTATTGCCTCATCGCTACAAATAAATTATGAAATTCCCCAGACGATATGGAATCTCTATCTTTAATGGCTCTGTGTATGTCACGTGTTTGCCACGGCCTGACGGGTTAGGAAGGAGTCTATTTATGTGATATGTACCAATCACCAGCGGCTTGCTCACAGACTGGCAAAACTTACAGTACTAAAACGGGCCATAAACTCAAAGTTTGGTTCACACGGCCCACAAGACTAACCTTAGAAACTGAGTAACATGTTCTAACAGTGATTACAGAATGGAGCTCAATAATTGAATAGCTTCTTACAGTTTAATTAACAATACTATTTGAAACCTGATAAAGAAAATTGATACTGTTCAGAATTATTCTTTAGAATTGTATTTTACTTTCAGTCTCCAGGAATCTATGCCCGTCTCCATGACAACCAATTATCTACCTCAGTGCACACAACTTCTTCCGGAACACAACATTACGCAGTTCACTGGAGGATTTCCTGCTCGCTAAAGTTAATTGTTGTGTTTAATGACGGGTTCTAAAATAGCTATTTCAGGATTTCTCTGACATCACATACTTTCCAGTACAATACTATACCAAATTACTGATTACACATTATTTTGTAGAAAATAAAAGTGAACCACTTCATGGATTAAGCTTCTTTTGTCTTAACTTTAATGTATTATTTATTAATTATTAGTATAGTTAACAAAATACGTCTTAACATCGCTATCCGCATTGAACTATGAAAATTTGATCTTGATAAACTGGTGTCATGCAGGTGGTGCTATTTTTATGCTGACTAATAACAAAATTCAGTTGCCCGATTTTATTACAAATTTACAAATATTAAGTCGGTAAAAATATGCGTAAGTTGCACTTGTAGCTGTTAAATACCAACCTTCTAAAAATAGGCCTGGCATAATAATACCCAAACTCCAAAGCTCAGAGTACATTTACCGGTTAGTTATATTTTCACCGCTGATAAATTACCCTCATATATCATAATATAATACGAACAGGTCGAATTTAGAGAAATAAGGACGAATATTAGGGGAATAATAATTCGTACCGTTTAAACCTGTGGTTTACGCATGACCACACATTCAGTGACTTTTCCTTGCAGTAAATAGTCGTATTAAACGGTTGGAGCATCCCACGGTTGTATCCTACAATTACTCTCCCTATTCCAGTAAAGTTGTATGTGATACTGATAACAATGTTCAGAGGAAACGTGCCCAACAAAACAGCATTCCCTGCTTGTGTAGTTGAATGATGGGAGTAGCCAAGATAGTGAATGTTAATTGATCCAGTTAGTACTGACAATCTTGTGTTATGATAATCTAGGACATGGGATTGGGGAAATGATACCGCCCTTATTGGATGAATATGTACACTGAGTGTAGATGAACGGTTCGTTATTTTGATTGGTTGTCAAGCTTCTCGACTGAGTGGACACAGACTTAGTCTGTGCTCAACTTTTCCTTATTTCACGGTAACTGGAAAGTAATTACACTAATCAGGACAGCACGAGATCTGTTAATTTGGGAGTAATTAGTGAACTGTGGGAACTGTGTGTTGTCTTGGTTAGATTTGTCTTTTAAATTAATGAGCAGATGATGACCATAATCAAAGGTGAGGATAAAAATGGTCTCACTTACAAACTCCGATTAGAACTCGGGTGAAGTGAGGAGCTAATATCAACTTTTTTCAAGAGATTCAAACTAAAATTAAGACGAACTCAGAAAATGTTTCCCATCATTGAATTCATAGTACTTAGAGGACATCACTCTTGCACTGAACTTTTGGCCAAGGGAAGAAGAAGGAAAACTTGAGAAGACAATACGAGCCCCTAAGACTATTAACTCTTAATAGCTCAAGATTCGTGCCCTCATTTCTCGAAAAAATAGATACAATTCCATCTCTCAGGAAACAAATCTGTTTTTTAAGGGTAAAAACTAAAAATATGTTTAAAAACGTGAAACTTACTCAGGTGGGGCGGGTGGAGTGTGGATCGCTGAAGTTTTGGGGTTGAAGTAGACTGGAATTGCGTTAGGTACTATATCTACCATGTGCCTCAACACGTATCCTACCTTACCACACGACTGAAGTTATTAATTTATTAACATAATGCAGTTATTAATTTATGCAGTTAATTTATGTAGTTATTAATTTTTAACATAATGAAATAATTGGAATGATTTCTGAGTCAGGGGTATGATGTCGCAGGATAATTTAAAGGGGGAATATATTATATATCTTCCTGTCATTTCCATGATATCATCACCTACTTGGAAAAAGTTAAAAAGTTATCATTAATAAGTTGCATTAATGCCGCACCCCATGCACACTAAAATAATTGCACCTACTTTTCTTGCGATCCATTTAGGTTGGTCGGTGGGATTCTTAACAATGTCCATCAGTTCTCCATTAACGAAGCTGAGATCGTTGTGTGAGACAGCCTCGCAGTTATCCTTGGCTCTAACTCCGCAAACAAATTCGTACTCCTGAGGAAATTAAATGTTAATATCTCTTAAATAAGTCATCTCTTAAATAAAGTCATTATCTCGTCATATTAAGTACTCATTATTCTGTCTCATTAGTCATAACCCTTATCATATTTCAAACCACACATTACATCACATCAGAGACCACACTTTACAGATTTGGCGAAACATAATATGTGCAAATAAATAACAAATTCAAATTTTACACAGCACTGTATCGATACATATTTGAAAATTCCGTATATTTTGTATCCATATTCTGCAGCAGGCTGATAATTTCAGTGCTGTCACATGTCAAGTAAGCCACTTTGAGTTTGGCAATAAACATCACATTTAATATGCCTTGAACTCAAAGTATTTCAAGATCTGATACCACCAACAGCAGAGATGGTAAATATGGGTATAATAATTGAACATGACACATTGTACTGACGAGTACTGGTCAGTGTAGATAAGAGTGCGCATATCTACATATCTACATTGCAGCTAGTTCCACCTTACTTCATATGTTCAGATGTTAGGATTATATTTCTTACACATATATGTGCAATGTGCATACTGCATATTAGCTGGAATTTTCTGGAACTGTAGATCCAAGTTGTAATATATATTATGGAAATGTGGGTTGAACTGATTGTGATTAAAGAGAGTAAGTTTGGATATCAATGAGAGGAGTTTTAGTAAAGTTAGACAAGTTTTAACGGGTTAAATTACAGTGATACCAACTTCCAACTGTTATTTAGTCGTATGTTTTCGGCAGAGCTTCTCAAATGGAGGCCGTCAAAGAAATTGTTTTTAATCGAAAGTCTCCAAGTATCATTCCACAATCCACACCATACCAAATGAATTGCGTAAAACTATTTCCGAAGCGGCACAATCTTACTAAGGGACCAGAATTAATTACTAATCTAATTCCTCAGAATTACCATAAAACTTCAGGGGTGGCTTCTTATCATGTGTCACTGTTGTCAACTTATGAGAATGACGTCAGACACGAAGTCATCAATCAGACGAGCCTACCAATGACGTGTCTTAAGATCCAGTCACGTGGTAAAGAAATTTTACGATGTTCTGTGTCCAGAATAACTATCTTATTAATACACGCCGTTACAATTTGTACTTATTTCAGAAAAGTGGTTAGATTTAACTTCCTACTGTCCGTGTTATATAATATGCTACACACAGCTGGTCGTTTGAAATGTGTACATTATACACTTAATACTAACTTACGGATTAGTACACAATAAATATTATCGTTTGTCTCATCTTGGCCGGCAGGTGAGGTGATCTAAGGTCTTGGTATTAGATCATTGAGATTTGGTGATCCCATTTCGAATTTTGGGTCAGAGAAGTATTTGAACTTGATACCGTAAAGAGAGGTATTTCGTTTTTTGGGTGCCCAAATTTGCTTTTTGCAAATGATTATTAAGGTAGTTATTGTTTTAAAACGTCTCATGGCTTGGTTTTTATGTATAAATAGTATTTTACAGCTAACAACTTTCCAACTAATGAAAGCAAAGTTTCGCGAGAAATGTTATACATATATTACAATAATTGCACATATATATATACGTGATATGATCGGTCAATAGATAGGACAGTTGAAAGAGTAACCGACACAGCTATTGAGGTGTACCATATAATAGGATTTCATTCCAAGTAGACACAACAATAAATTGTAAAAACTGTTTACATAAATACAACTTTAACAGTTTAACGCAAGGACTAAACTTGATCGTGTATACCTTACTCGGGAATATTATGACTGGGATAAAGTGGTGGGTTTGGGAAAATTCCGCCATATTTTTCCCGGTCATTAATTTTCCCAGTCATAAATTAACCCGCTATAAGATTCCCGAGTAAGGTAAACTAATAGTAATGCATTTTGATGCTTGGTGGGTTTTGGAAAATTCCGCCATATTTTTCCCGGTCATTAATTTTCCCAGTCATAAATTAACCCGCTATAATATTCCCGAGTAAGGTAATCGACCCAAAAACAATGTTCCAGCAATGTTTATTCATAAGATTACTCAGAACTAATATTTGTTGTTATGAGTCTCAGAAATGAGTTTTTGTTGGTTACAATTCTGTCCGTAAAATTTCCTATCTGCTTGTCCTTTTCTTTTTTCGTTGTGACGGAATTGTAATGAACAAAATCCTTATAATTATTTATGATATGTTTGATTTCTTGTTTTTGTTTGTCATTCAAATTTGGTAGACGGCCCAAACGTTAATGTGGCTCTAGCTATGCATATAATGTGTTGGTTCAGCCGAATGAATTATTATGTAATCAAGTTTATTTTTCTCGTTAGTTGTCATCCAGCCAAACATTAAGCAACTTATATTGCAGTAACATTTATCAATTAGTATATCAAAATATGTCATTGTAATTTTGCATGGCTGAAATGTAACGCTTGATTTATATATATAATGATTAATTGAATTTTCAAATAAAAAATTAAAAAATCGATCATCAGCTTGTTGTTCATATGTTTAAGAGGTTTTTGAAATATTTCACTTTTACTCACATCATCTGGATCAAACGCACTCTGCTGCTGCTGCTGCTGCTGTTGCTGTTGCTGCTGTTGCTGCTGCTGCTGCTGTTGCTGCTGCTGCTGCTGCTGTTGCTGTTGCTGTTGCTGCTGCTGCTGCTGTTGTTGCTGTTGCTGTTGCACGTTTACGCCATTATTACTGTTTGTCTGCACAGGGGGTGGTGGGAGAGGATACGTGGGGGTAGGCGGCTGGGTGTACGGAGCGTTGGGAGGGGGTATGCTGAAGGAGGGAGGTGTGGGATGCGAGGGTGTCGTGGGGCTGGGAGTGAGGTCTCCTTCTGACACATAGTTTGAGGGGAAGTATCCTGTTTGTCCGTCCTTCTCCCCCTTCCACCATCCATCTTTCTTCTTTTCCAGAACTATTAACTTGTCACCTGAGTGGAGATTTGTCAGCTAAAATAAGGTTTATTTTGTGAAACTGAATGTAGCATTCTATTCACGATTACAACAAACGATGAAGTCACTTTGATTATGAAAAAAAGTAATTCATTAATTTGCCAAGCACAACAAATAATGTTCTTCCAAAACCTTTATTAAGACTAAGCTCATCATCTCTTGTAGCTTCGAATTTGAACTTGACAGTAGCCATGATGTTGAGGGGAGCTGCAACTGCTTCAGATGTGGACTGCTTGGGTGCTGCTGTGCTGGCTTTCTTCTTTTTCTTCTTGAACAACTTATCAACAAACGATTCTCCTTTTATTCTCTGAATTTATAATAGTTTATCAAAAAATAAAAACCACAGCGAAATGCAGTTGTTAGCCACCAGATTTTTTTTCATCTGCAACACAAATAAATATTCATTAATTTAGCTGTATTAAACGGTGCTTTTGTTAAGTAACTTAAATTGATGTGTTGTATAATGCTTCCTATAAGAATCCTGTTCTTTTAATGGGGTAACCTAACTAAAGCCAAAATTTGAATAATAATAATATTCAGTGAATCTCATTAAGACTTAAGTTACATAGTAATATAAATTTCACTTCAGTGATAACGACGAAACATGTTGAAACAGTGAAATACCTCAAGATAATTGGATGGGACATATCCACAGAGCTGATTGTCATTTCGGACTCGCCACCAAGAACTAGAAGAATCTAATACGACCAATCTGTCATTCTTGTGTATCGTTAGTTCAGAGTCTTGGTTAGCAGTGTAGGAAAACCTGGTGATATTTTGGTTAAAAGGATGGATTTAGGCAAACAAAATAAAGTTGAATGGTCAAGAATTTATACTTATATCTGATCCATTTATGCGCTGAACCAGAGTCTAGTTGCAGGACAAAAATTGTTTTTATCGCTTAAAAATTGTAGCATGGTCATAATCTATGATTTAAGTTACATTGTTTGTAAAATATTGAAATGGTACAAAATGACATTTTGAATCAAATTAGGGATTTCAACATTGTTGAGTAACTTAAATTGTTGTTGTTGCATATTATGTATTATGGGTATGAAATCAAATCTTTGTTTTATCAACAAAAAACAACAAACCTGGCTAATACAAGTACTTCTTCTACCATTTTCGGATCATTGAATTGACAAGCGCACTTACATAAACATTCTGAGGATAATCTTAAGTAATTGTTTGGTCTACTTTCTACTTTTGCATTGGGAAATTGAAAGTCAACAAAACAAACATGATAAAATATTAAAGTCAAATTTCATTGAGGTGAATCATCTTATAAATAATGCACAGCTGCACCTTTGATGACATTCCTGACAAAACTCTGCAAATATTGGATGAAATGCTCTTAACACCATGGAATGAAATGTAGCGATATGTTCCTGTTGAATTGGAATACATCTGTGCTGCTCAAAGCCATGTGCAATGTGCATGGGAACTGAAATCTCTGACTGCAACTATTCTTACAGTTTGCACTGTATGGTCATGACAACTCTTAAACATTGATGGTGAGTGTGAAATAATATACTTAAACTACTATTTTAATTCTAATATCCAACAAGACGAGAACAGCAGTATTAGAGAATTAACGATCCAGCTAGCACACAAGGACATGATATCATGCTGACTTCAGATATTAGCACGTGATTTGATATGGAGTGCATATTGCAGTATTTGATCAATGCTCTGGTTTTAACTAAAATGATCATTAAAGTCCAAGTTTCAACCTGTTAATTTTACAAATAAGAACACATCAAGGTTGCACATGACAAAAGCCCAGGTATGGTCCATTAGAATATTGTATATAATAGTATATTAGCATATAATATTATGTTTGCAATTAGTTTTAAATTAAGGCGCATTAAATAAATTGACTGAACCGTTATCGTATAAATTAAAATATAATAACCAAGTAGACATTTGAAGCGGCCAGGTAGCGCAGTTGGTTAGAATGCCAGCTTTACAATCGTTAGGTTGCGGGTTCGAATCCCACTGTCTGCCTGGTCGTGGGGTGAGCGTTGTTGATGTTCAGCTAAGGAGCCTGAGTGGTCTTTGCAGCCCCCGGTCTACTCAGCCAAATACTCGAGAAATCGGGTGTGAGGGTTAAATGAGGAGCTGCACATTGCAGCAAAGTCTCGGGCGAAGAAAGTATGGTACACACTACCTTAACCGTCACTGGCCAAATAAATCCTTCGGCTTCCTGTAATTGGCTGGTTGCACTTGTGTAACAATGTGGCTGTTTTTTTAATTTTTATTAAATGCTTTTCAAATTTTACAGAGTACAGCAATAGATGAATATAAAATAGAATCGTTCAAAATATCGCCCCCATCTGTAAAATATGATGGGCACCCAAACACGGTAAACACATAGTGAACTATGTCCGCAGTAACTTGGACCCATTACATCGAATTAATCTAAATCCAAAAATTTATGAAAAACTATTTAATAACAAACAAATCCATGGTGAATAACTGTTGGAATACACCAAAGTAAAATAAGTGTCTTGATAATAGTAGTAGTAGTAAATCTTTCAAAGTACGAAATATCTCTTTAAAAGAGCATCCTAGGCACCTTATAGATATCAAAACGCATAAAAAAGAAAACAAAAAACATCAACCATCTTCTAACTTCTTCCACTCCTCCCTATCTAAAGCTAAAAATCTAAGGTCTTCGAAATCAGTCAAATTCTTAAGTCTAATATCAAGATTTCTACTAGTCAAGTCTTTTCTAATAACATCTAATAAGTTTAAACATGGTCTACCCCGTCTCCCTTCCATAAAAATATCAGAATTTATAGCAAATAACATAGAGGTGTATGCTGGTGAGTCTTCCTGTCCTCTTAAGATATGTCCTAACATTCTCCATCGAAACTTAGAGACTCTCACAGACAAGGGAGTGACATAACAACGAGCATAGAGTGCCTCATTAGAAATAACCCCAGTAGGCCATCTGATGTTGAGGATTCTTCGGAGGTGTTTGCGATGAGCAATATCAAGTTCATTCAACGAAGCTAGTGGTGCAGCCCAGGAGTTGCAGTTGTAGAGTAGAATAGAGACTACTTGTGCCTCGTAGATTTTGATCTTCCTTTGGACTGAAATCTTGCTCTTCATCCAAACTTTCTGAAATTTACTAAAGGCAACATCACCAAGGAATATTCGATTCTTGATATCCTTAACAGTGCACATCAACGATCCTAAAGTTTTGTTAGAGCGCCACTCTTCATCACCTCTATACACTTTTCCAACAATCACCTTGCGTTTAACAGTGGGTTTAGGATCTGCTAAATAAAAATGGACAAATTCAGTCTTGGAAGAATTGATATGAAGGTCCCACTGCTGGAATATATCTTTAGCGATAGGAAGCATTTCTTTGAGTGGAGCAAGTTCAGTGTTATTAAAGTCAATATCATCAGAGTATCCTGTTTCGAGTGGCATGAATTCTTCTGAGATAGGAGGATTAGGGATTGGATGATTCACTGGGTAAGGTGTTGATGATACTTGGGAGAGTACAGATCTGAGAATGAGTATAGACATGTCAAGTGCCTTTGACACCATCAGCAGAGAAACAGTACTCAATGTTCTTGAAGATGCTGGCTGTACTAGTGATGAAATTAGGATGGTACGGCTCCTACTATCAAACACAGTGTTGAAAGTAAAAGTCAATAATACTGTATCAATTGAGTTCCGAAGCACAACTGGAGCATTTCAAGGAGATGCACTATCAGGTAATCTATTTACTGTTGTTGAAGCCGCTGCACTTATTCACCTCAGATCTGTCTTGATAATAAAGCTTGAAAATGTAGTTGAAACGACAGCGAAATTTATATAATTCTTTTGATTTGTCAACAGATTAGCTGATCTCATAGCCAGAAAGAGGAAGAAAGATTTCCTGATCCTCTTGATTGATTTCAAAGACAGTTTAGTAAGTTAAAACAATTCGGTACAATAGCCAAATTTCTATTTAAAAAACCTTATCAAACTTCCCAGTGGAATAAAGATTTATAAAACGCTTTTTTGCCACGTAAGAATGAAACCAAAAATAAATATGGATAAATATGTTAAAAGGAAATAATGAAAATAAAGAGTAGTAAAAATGTAATTGCTGCATATCGTTAGTTTGACAACAAACTCGTCCAGTTTAATTCGAGATAGCGCTCGATTTTTGATATATACATAATGTCGGATTATTTAAATGTACGTGATGATAAATTTGCGCAGCGTGTATTTTACTATGTATTAAATTATTTCATATCCAAATATAAATGCAATTGCAATTGCAATTTTTGTGTGCAGAAATACAACTATTTTTAATTTGATATAATATTTATATAAAAACAATTCAACTAAATAAAGCAACGTTTATTTTTAGTATAAAATATTGCTCTAACCAGAGCCCTCTCGCTTGCAGTAGCGCGTGACCGCCGAAGCTTATATTCTACTTGTGAAACAAGCGCGAAAACAACAATTTATAATATGTTATACATTATAGCAATATTATAAAGAAAAAACTTTTAAATACGCAATTAAACCAATATTTACGGTTACTTAATTTGCTATTTTATTGTTTGCTCTACTTTAACGGGTGATACTCGTAAAATATCTGTTCCATATATTGTATATATATATATATATTTCATGGCTGGACTTCTACACAATAAAAGAAAGCGGTTGTGATTAGATCGTCGAAAGTCTTTGCATCATTTATTTACATCAATTCTGAGAAATTATATCATTAAAGTAACTACAACAAATACGAATCATATACAATTGAGAATAAATACAAACTAAAAGCAGTGGGAAAATCTGATGAACTGAAATTTAAAAAAGAAACTGAAAGCCGTTAAAAATGTACTCTTATCTTATCTCTCATCTAAATACTGATAACTGATTCTCGGAAAATCACTTAAAATCACAACAAAAAACCTGTAAAATTAATACTAAAGTAAAAAATGTAGTATGCACGTCTCTGGAATAATGGTATAACTAAATAAAATCTACAAGAATATACTAAAACTAAAACTAAGCTCCGGCAGATTTAAAAAGTATATGGTTACTATCAAGGGTGTTCATACCCCCAAACCGTTCAAGGGTTTTCAATTGGGTCTGGTAGAACCCCTCTCTAGCTTCCATAGCCTTTTCTTTGTCTGCTTTACTAATATTAGGCTCAAATACTAAAGCGTCTACTATAATGACAGAAAGGTGCTTACTAAGTGAGGAATTATAGGAGGCTATGGTACTAAAATCTAAATCATGATCAATATCTAAAAAATGGTTAACTAATTTACAACTTCTTATACCTTTCTTTATGTGACTCTTATGGTTAGAGAATCTCTTAGGGAGATTTGAGGTAGTATAACCGACATACGACTGTTTACAAGTCTTACACTCCATTAAATAAATGAGGTTATAACTCTGACAAGATATATACTTAGTTATAGGGAAAACTTGTTTAGAATGGTGACTACTAAAGTTGGAACAGGGGGACAGGAAATTTTGCTTACAAACATAGCATTTACCACAAGCATGGCACCCTGGGTCGACAGCCCCGGGAACCGCCCTTAGACTTTCGGAGTCTGGTTCCTGGATCTGACTTGCAGTTGTTTCTCTCTCATTATCACAGTTTAAAGTTCCACTGGCACGGTACTTATTGTGTACAAGCATGCCACCGATAGTTTGATTCTTTCGATGACTCACGAATACACTGTCCGCACGTACCAGCTTCTTCAGGGCCGGATCAAGGTTGAGAAGGTGCTTATACTTATGGATAATGCCCCCCATGTTGGGAAGTGCTGGATTTTGATCCATCACCATGGGTATTAAACAGGCAGTCGACTCATCCTTGTCTTTAAGGGTATACAAGTTTTTCCTATTAGCTATATCACTAAATTTGTTAAAGGCATCTTCTATAATACTGGAATGATAACCTCGGGCTAGAAGGTAACGTGTATAGACCTCTCTCTGCTCCAAGAAGTTAGTGTCTTCACTGTTGTTCTGTCTCACCCGCCTCGCCACTCCAAAAGGTATGTTTTTTACAACATGGTTCCTATGGCATGACGTGGGGATAAGGTAGCAGTGGGTGTCACTAGGTTTAGAGTAGAGTTTGGTGTGGACAACATCACCAACAGCATAGACATAGGTGTCTAGAAACTCAACGCCGTCC